TACCGCTGTGGCAAGTGAGATGAACCAATCACAATGAATATCCAATCAATCGCTAGGAGAATTCCAATCACAATAGACACAAGATTTTTCTCCAGAGGTTCACGTGCTTACCGACATGCTAGTCCCCATTGTGTCGACCAACATTTAGTGGTTCAGTGGCTAATAGGTATCACACACCTAGCCAACACTTGGCACCGCAAGAACCTACCCACAAGTGAGGTAACTCAATGACACGAGCAATCCACTAGAGTTACCTTTCGGCTCTTTGCCGGGGAAGGCACAAGACCCCTCACAAATCTCCAGGAGATGGCCACGAACAATCACCAACTCATGCCAATCCTCCTCCGCTGCTCCAAGCCATCTAGGTGGCGGTAAGCACCAAGAGTAACAAGAAATGCGCAGCCACAACGATCCCCAAGTGCCACTAAATACAATTACTCAATCAAATGCACTAGGAATCACTCCCAATCTCACTATGATGATGAATCAATGATGGAGATCAGTGGGAGGTGTTTGCTTAGGCTCACAAGGATGTCAAGTATGTCAAAGTGCCAAGAGAGTCAGCCCCAAGCCAGCTAAGAGCCTTAAATAGACGCCCCTAGAAAATAGAGTCGTTGCTCACTCGGGGGCTGACTGGACTCGCGTGACCAGATGCACCCCAGCATCATGTCGCCAGCGTTCAGTCCTCGGATGGATTCCACGTGGCGCCCCTTTGAATCTTGCGCGTTAGATCTCAATGGTCCAAAACGTTTCACTCGCGCAATCAAAGAATGACCGGATGCATAGCTCAAATGACTGGACGCTCAACAACGCAGAGTTCGGTCAGGGCGATTTTTACACAGAGAGCTCACCGAGCATGTTTTTCACAATCAGACGCGTTAGGTCACAAGTGACTGGATGCGCCCCGGAGTCTAGTCCTCACTACGCTCATAAACAGGTGCTACGTCAGCATTTGTCAGCCGTGACCAGATGCACTGCCTGCGCGTCCGGTCGCTCCCGTCTCTAGGGTCCGATCACAAACTGAGCCGCGTCATCTCTGCTGCACGTGACCTGACTCAGCGCCAGAGTCAGGTCCCTGCATCCAATCATGCCACTGAGGCAGACCAAGACCCTAGGGTATAGCAACGAACGCGTCCGGTCATCACCCTTTGCCTCCTTTTCTTTTTCTAACTCCTCAATATCTTCACCTTTGCTTTTAAGTTGCTAACCACAGTGTGTACAATTCATGTGCTCGTGTGTTAGCATTTTTCAAAGCATTTTTCAAGGGTCAATTGTTAGCACACTAGGTCTCTAAATGCATATGCAAGAATCATGTCACCTAGTGGCATTCGATAACCGCTTAGTAAAAGATTCTCCATCTTTATAGTACGGCTATCGATCATAAATACACTCACACCCTCTATGGTGTTTTGAGTGCCAAAACAAAAACCTATTTGATACATTTGTCTTGATCTCCTTAATTTTTGTTTTTCTATTTCTTCTTTTCCGAGTTAGAGCTTGATCACCATCATCACATGTCCATCTCCATCACTATCTCTAGGGACCTCTCACTTGCTCTATCACTTAGTATGTATCAACCTACCTTATGATCACACTTGATGACATAGATTAGTACTTAGATTTCATCAGTTATCAAAACTAAACTAGCGCTTTCAGGTATGTATGCTCGGCTCTGGACCGGATCTCCGGTGGCTGGATAGCAGGCTAGGCGTCGCACAGCAAATAAGTTTGATCCTCTAGTCACAGATCAAGGGACGGGACGACTAAAATCAAATATAATAATAAGTTTAGTGTCTATTGGCCCTGATTTTTTATATCTTTTGGCTACATCTTTTTTTAGTGGTCTCTAGCAAATGTCTTGTTTTAAAAGTGTCCTCTGACAAATTTTACCCTAAAAAAGGTGTACAAGGTAGTGAGGACGCGGTTGTGAGGCCAATGGCCATTGGACCTAGACAGCTGTAGTGAGCGGTGGTTCATAGTGTGAAAGTCCTCTTGACCTCTCAACTTTCACGTTAGTTTGATTTCCTCCCACATTCATAAAACTAGTTTTTTTTTATTTTTAAAATCATTTGAACGGTTTGGGACGGTAGTTTTGTGACTTTGTCTGATGCAACACCACGTCAATTACAAGAGGTTAAATCAGACTTCATTGATAGGCTAGGACTTAGGAGGTAAATCAGACTAAATATATTTTTTTTAAAAAATCAATTTTTCCTTGAAAGTTTTTATGATTAAAAATCCTATTTTTACTTTAATCTTAAAAATCAGGGAAAATTATTATTCATTTTAAGATCAAACCAGGTTTTAGGATTTTAATTACATTAATTGTTTAGGAAAAAATGTTAAAAATATTTGTTGTCCGATTTATACCTCCATAAACTATGAAACAAGTTTAGTTTATCCTCCTTGTGACCGAGGTGATGTCATGTCAGATAAAAACAATAATCGTCCAAGACTGCTAAGGGTGCAAATATAAATGGTTTTAAAAACTATAAGGAAGATAAAAAAAACGGTTTTATAAATGAGGGGATGAGCGACGGAGCTGGTGGGTACTTGATGGGCTGAGGTTGTGAGCCACACAGACCTTTTTGTATTTGATTCTCGTTTCCCTATCGGGCCATCGTAAGAAACACAGGCACACACCTAATCCGAATTCTACAGCCCGCGCGTGCACCAATGACCTGACATGTTAGGTTGTACTCAAAAACTGATTCTATGCTGAATAGAGTACCTGCCAAACAATTTTTCAAAGATAAGTGATTCTCTACTGATTCCGTGAAATGATTCTCTGAATAAATTAAGATGTTGAGAGCTAGAAAAAACAGCTTCTCCTGATTCTACGAAGTGACTCGTCATTATAATATTGAGAGTTTATGTTAAAGAACAAAAAAGAATCACTTTCGACTATAAAATCATTTCTCTTAGAAAATCAACTTCCACGTAGAATCAAAATCAGTTGGAGCTCTATCAGACCGCCCTTAGGGCCTGTTTGTTCCACCTTCTAAGGTTTAGTCCATCAGATGTTTGGACATTAATTTACTGTATTAAACATGGACTAATTACAAAACTAATTATATAGATGGAGACTAATTTACGAGACGAATCTTTAAGCCTAATTAAGCTATGATTTGGTAATGTTGTACTACAGTAAACATACGCTAATGATGAATTAATTAGGCTTAATAGATTTGTTTCGTAAATTAGTCTCTATATATGCAATTAGTTCTACAATTAGCTCATATTTATTGCTTTTAATTAGCATCCGAACGTTCGATGTGACAGGGATTAAACTTTAGTCCTAGATAGTTTTTCTAGACAGACCCATAATTAGATTTGTTAGTGACTCATCAAGTCACCATGCTGTGTGTAGGATGCGAGAGCGAGACTGCCACGAGAAGACGCGGCCACAATAATGTTTCCAAAAAAACAAGGTGACACGGCTGACTAGAAGAGGAACGATGATGATTTTGAGAAGGTCGGCTAGCGACGGCGAGAGACGACAGCGCCGTGCACGGGGATACAGCTACAGCGAGGGATATATGACGACGATAACGATGGTCTACCTGCCGCACGGGCACGGATCCGAAGCGCTGGCGCTGGCTCGTCCATCTCCGCTTCCACGTAAACCAAAACCGGACACGCCTGGGCAACAACACCTGTACGTACGTCAATTGGTGAAGGCATCGATCCTCTTCTAGCTCTAGCTCTAGCTCTAGCTTTATTTCTTTCATTTTCGCAAACAAAGGAGCAAAGAGAAAAAGAAAGTGTACCTCCGAATTAAGTATACCGGTAGCTCCGGCGTCGCTCTCGATGGGGATGCTGTGTCCGTCCGTCAGGGCGCACACAACGGAACGGAACAGGACTACTGCAAGTACCAGCACAGCAGGGGACGGCCTGGACGCCCGGTCGCCGGTATCTATGCTCTGCTCTGGACCGGACCTCCGGTGGCTGGACAGGCTAGGCGTCGCACACAGCTGAGCTGAGCTCGTCGCGTGGCCGATCCTCTCTCTAGTCACGGATCGATCAAGGGGCGACTAGCGAGTACGCGCTGTTGCTGGGTCGTCCTCCTCCTGCCGCTGTACGTGCTCGCTGAAATTTGCTTTGCGTTAGGCCAAAGGATTACTAGTAGTGGTTGCTAGATTGTTATTCATCTCGCACTTGTGCCATTCCTGTCCGGCGCAAGGTGAGCAGGGCCGGGGTTGGTGGCTGGCGCCAACGTGCATGCTGCATGCATAGTTGGCTGCGGGCCATAGCCTGCCGTTGCCGCACGTGTGCTGGATGCCTATTCAATGTTGCACGGACGCTTATAAGGTGGAAGTGAGGAAAAATGAACAATTGGAGTTATACTGTATCTTATGAGTTGTTGAGTACAAATCAAACATCTAAGACTAAAGGATCGGAACTCCACGTACTCTCTATGTTTATTTTCAAAGTGTCGCTATGACATTGTCAAGTAGAATTTTTTTCTCAAATACGTAAAAGATTTGTATATCATTGTATTAAGAAGAAGAGTTTAAACATACATACAATGCGCATCTATATATCGAGGTCCAAAGGAGGTCGACCTAAAACAGTCGTAGCTGGACCATAGATTTGTAGAAAATATCAGTAGCATTTAAACCTTCAAATAAGTTTACTATAAAAATAAATTCAACGTTCTTTCTAAGAATCTTGACAAAAAAAACACATGATCAATGGTAATGTTGATGTGTGAGCCATATGCATGGTTCATGGTTGATATATTATTAATTGCTGTTATTTTTCGACGACACCATGTTAATGAACCCATGTACAAGCTCTGTTTCAGCATGCTCGCTCCCATGCTAACCTAACAAACAGAGGTAATAGCTGGTAGCTAGCCAGGCACAACAAACCACGCACCGCAAGGTGCGCAACCAAGAATCCACCACTATCATCAACCAAATAATAATATGTGTACACGCACGAACACGTCGATCAGATGCGTACATCACCCACCAGAAAACCCAACAGCGGCGAGGTCAGCGTCGTCCGCACCACCGTGTCGTCGTGTCAACCGCACAGCCGCGGTCCATCCCCATCAGCTCCGCCGCCGTCTCCTCCGCCAGCGCCTCCAGCACGGCCGCCGCGATGAGCGCGCCCACTTCCTCCACCGACGGCCGCAGGTCCTCTGCGCGGACGCTTGCCCCGGCCATCTCCGAGGCTACGAGGCTAGTCGACTTGGCGAGGTCTTTCTCCAACGCCACGTCCTCCTTCCGACGCGCGTGCTTCTTCTTCCTCCTCCTCCTGGTCCGCGGCGTCGTTGGCGGCGTTGAGTTGTCGGTGCTGCTGAGGCGGCGCCGGCCGTCTTTGGACTGGGTGCTGCTGCTTCGGTCTCTGGCGATGGCGATGACGTCGTCCAGCAGTGTGTTGGGAGTGTAGGCGGACTCAACGAGCTCGCCGAAGATGGCCAGGGCTTCTGCTGTGCACGGTGGTTTCGATTAATGGCGCGTCAGACTTTGGCAGCTTGTACGAGCTCGATTCGATAATGGCGGGTGACAAAGAGAGATGGTGGCTGGGGTGCTTGCTTACGTACTTGGCGCGTGCGGCGGTGGCGGCGAGTGCTCGAACAGGCGCTGCTCCAGCACGGACACAGGGCTGAGCTGCTTCTTCGAGGACTCGTCCTCGTCGTCGTCGTCTTCCTGCTCCCCGTAGTCCTCCATGTGCGCTTCGACGGCTCCGGCTCCGGGGGAAGCGGGACGAAGAGCGAGCTCGAGGCTGTCCGGCGTCCTCTGCTTTTCGGCGACGACGCGGCGGCACCCGATGGCGGCCCGCTGCTGCCGGTCCTTCGTCGCCGCAGGCACCGTCGACGTGCCGCTGAGAATCTTGGAGAGCAGCATCCTTAGCACGCCGCTCCGACGGGAGCACTTCTTGTTCCTCGCCGGCCGCCTCAGGATCCGGCCCGTGCTTCTGGTCTTGGGCCAGCACGTTGAGCAGGCGCCGCCACCGCACGCGGTGGCGTCGAGGAAGGCCGGGGAGCAGCCTCTCTCGAGGAGATAGAGGTCGAGGGAGAATGGCTCCTGCTGCTCACCAAGGACCTCCGACAGGCGGCGGCGGCTGCTGCTGCCGGACGGCGACGGTGAAGGGTGGGACATGGGGCAGCACGGGGAAGGAAACGGATGGACAAGGCGAGGTGGAAGGAGGAAGAGACGTGTGACGTGTGTGTGCAAGTGGAACAGCCTGTTGGAGCATATATTCGACGTGCAGGTGAAGAAGCGCGGGGAAAGAAGCTTTACAACTTTTTCATTAACAACTTTCGGGGAAAAAATGGGATTAAAAGTTTACCCTAGAAACAAAATACCGAAGGGACCAATAGAAACAAAAATCACGAAAATCAATGAAAATCGGATGAAATTTTGGGTAATATTTTTGAATCTTCATGAATTTTTGGCTAAAGTTTGAAACAAAAACTAAGCGAAATGGATATGAAATTATCAATACATGTATTTACTGGGAAATCGCCGATTTTCGGAGAAAACACTAGACGAAATTCAGAACCCTGCACACGTGCTCTCGTCATTCGTCACCCACCACTCTACCGGTAGAAAGGGAAATCACCGATTGTATGAGCTTGTGCATTACTGTTATACCCACAACAGTAAAACTAGCTTGAGAGTTGAGACATAAAAGTTACAATATCTCCACCAAGGATCTAATGATGAACCAGGGACAAAAGTAAGGGTAAGCGGTGGTGGAGCCAGGAATTGAACTTGAGGAGGGGCGGGCAAACATGTTCATTATCTAACGTTGTATACTACAGAACTATATAGACCAATGAATGCAAAAATCACTAAGATTCACTTGTGTTAAGAAGCCAAGAAAATATTGTGTAGGAAGCATAGAATTTTGGAACCAAAATGGGGATGTATCTACTTGCCTAGGTCAGCGCCTGTTGCACTGGGTGTGATGTGGTCCACGAGTGCAACAGGGGCTGCAGCAGTACTTCAGTAGTACTTTTCAGCAAACGAACAATGTTTTTCTCTCACAATAAATCAGCATAAGCATCAACATAAGCTAAATTTTAGTATAAGCATTAGCATAATGTATTGGACGTGCAAACCCCCTGGACGCAGCCTCTAATGGACTTTAAGACAATATACGACCCAACGGACCAAAAAGCGCAGATCCTGGAAACTGACTTGCTTCGATATGATTCATGTTTACTCTGAATGAATTTTGATGTCAAACCAAAACTATTGGTTAGCTTATGAAATTATGTTTCTATACATATGTGTATCATCGTCGAAAACGGATTATGTATGCATCTTGGGCGTCGATTTTCCTAGAACTGCTCCTAAAATCCGAGATGGATTCCAACTTGAATTAGACTGGGCCTCCGCCATGACTTGGATGACTTCGACGTCCACGCTAGTCCTCTTCATCTCCATGAATTATATCAAAAGGGGTGATGTCCTCATCAGCCATACTATTAAGAGGAGAGTTCTAAAGTGATTGTAGTTATCTAGTGCAACTAGGTGATTACATTCTTTGCATATGTATTTGACCTAGTGATGTGGTGAGAAAGCAAGCGAAAATGCTTTTGAAATGTTTTGAAAATACTAACTTAGTACTTAAAGGTGAAGGTGTTCATGAAATACATTTTACGTATTAGACAAACAGATTTGCATAAGCCGATAGACACAAAAATAAAATACCTTCACATTCTATACCTTTACTACAAATTAACATGAGACCTTTAATAGAATATACAAGGTGATTATATGTAATAAAACACATACAAATAAATATAATTTTATTAGATATGGCTTGCCTGTGCAGGAACCAAACACGAAAGCACTACATATGTTCACGTTAGTTTAGGTTGTGCTGCATAAATCTAATGCAGGCTAAAACTAATACATGCAACCAATCAGATTCTATGTGTCTAAATCAAAGGTGAACTGTATGGTCCAAAAGAGTATAGTCGAATGTGTTGAGAAACTCACGACTAGCCTAGAAAGCACTCGAGAAGTCAAGATGCAAGCTTAATCAAATTTCCTTGGTGGGAGGCAGTAATCCGTTGGAATCCATACGCCAATTCCTTGAAGCTATCTTAACGTTTTAGTCTTAGTTCATACTCCCTCCATTCCAAATTCTAAGTCATTCCAAGAATCTTGGAGAGTCAAATCATCTTAAGTTTGATCAAAATTATAGAAAGAATTACAAAAATTTGTGACATCAAATAGGTATGCTATGAAAATATAATTAATGAAAAATCTAGGATATTTAGTTGGCATTATAAATGTTATTATCTTATCATACAAATTTGGTCAAAGTTGAGATGCTTTGACTCTCCAAGATTCTTGGAATGACTTATAATTTAGGATAGAGGGAGTAATATTTTTCCTAGTTTATAGTCCTCTTCTTCTTCTTTAGATAACCATCCATTTCCTTGTTCTTCAACCATGAATCTCTCAAGGGGCGTCTCTGATGCATCCCTCTAAGGGATGCCTATGACCGAGCCCGGAGTCCAGAGCGAGGAAGCAAGTCAGCGAGGAAGCGAACTAGGAGCGCCTTCAATTAAGCGGAGCATTGGAGTGCGGTTCGCCTCTACCCAGAGTGAGAGTCACCTCCGACCGAGCCCAATCCTGGGCCGATGGGGGAGCAGACAGGGAGGAGGTTGCCTCCGATTGAGCTGACAATGAGGAATGGAAAGCGGAGATAAGGGTCAGTTGCGGCGGGGCGGAGGGGCAATCTGGGGAGCAGATCAGAGGGGCAATGGACAGAAAATCATTCAGGAGAAAACGCGAGTGGAAGGCCATGCTATATAAAACATCAATGCTAGTTGAAACTTCTATATTTTGTTGGCCGCCCGATTCTCAGACAATCGAGACGTTTGAGTGAAATTCTCGATTATTTTCATGTAGAATCTAATTTTAAACCGCTTTAAACACACAAATACATATAATTTTCCTTTTCAATTGAAGCCCAAACTAACCGAACGTACACGTCTGTGCGTGAAATGCAAGACCACAACAGCTTTCAATTGTACCTTCTAGCTATCGTCTTTCGGCCTAGTCTGCAGCACTACTTTAGCAGCTCTTTTAAGCGAACGAACAGTATTTTTCTCTCACAATAAATCAGTATAAGCATCAGCACACAAATTTTCGATGTGGCACGATGCTTTTACCTATTCTTTTTTTTAGGTCACAACAGAGAATCCTCACTTGATTTTTTTTTTCATTTCATTGATCACACAGCCCTTAACGGCCTGCAGGATAGATGACATATTTTATACCATCAATGTACAAATTCTATTTCGTCAACCTGCACTGCCATAATTTGGCTTCTGTCGTATAGGGCATCGAAATTCGAACATAGAGTCATGTAAGGAATTTTGAAGTTTTCAGGGTCATAAAAGAACTGAGTGAGTTTCACATTGACATACAAATAATTTTCTCAAAATAATTTGGCTTCTGATGAGGCCGTCGGCTTTGATTTCCACAAGGCTTCCGGCGGCTTACATAAATCCGTTGCGGCTACGCTTCCACAGCTGCCGGCAGCAAAGGGGCAACCAACCAAGTTCCTTTTTGAGCGTGGCTCGCGGCACGCCGGTGCTCTCGCTTGTCCGGAGGCGCGGGGCCGCCTTCGTCTGCTCAGTGCTCACCCCGACGCGCGACAGGTCCACCGCGTCGTCGTGTCGGGTCAAATCGTCAGTGGAAAAGCTCGGGGGATGGCCGGCTAGAGGGCCGGACTGGTACTCCGCCCGGCAGCTAATAAGGTACTGTCCGTACCACATTTGCTACGTTTCCTTCAAACGTCTGGGCAAGAAAGACTGAGAGAGATTCAAAAAAAAAGACTGAGAGAGCATGTGTGGTACTACTACATTCAGCTCAGAATTCAGATTGCAGTGGTTGAAAGATTGCATTAAAGCAAAGCTGGAGTGCTGGCATTGCCGTTGACAGGCTCGTTGGAACACTGCTTGAGGGCCATACTGCTAACCATTTTATTACTGTGGAAACCACACTGCTTGAGGGCTCCTGAGGCTAAAAGTCCCCACACAATACAATTGGTTGCTGATTTGAACTAGCATCTCGTAGAATAGAATAGATACGCCTTGTACTGAACTTTCTGTCTGTACCAATACTACTTACTGGCTGCTCATTTGAACGGGTGCCAACAAACGCCAAGACATGTGGAACCGGCACTGCTCAGCGGCAGAGCTCTGAATTGTCGCCTCAGCGGAAGCCATCGATGCCTGTCGATGGAACCGGCTCTTCTGGCGAAACACGACAGGGGAATCGCAGCTCCGACCAGATTTCCGTCTCGTCGCCGTTGTTGGCTTCCTCTTGTTCGTTCGCGGCCGGGGCTCGCTGGATGAACAGTAGGCTCGTGGATGAACAATGCGTGCACGAACAGCCGCTGCCTTATTTCGTATGGCTGTCTCCGAATTCAGCTCCCTCCTCTCCTCGGTACAACTGAACGGGAAGATGCTCGAAAAGGTGCAGATTTAATTAGCTGTTGGCGATTTTCCAGATGCCTTCAGTGCCTAGGGCTAGAATCCTAGATTAATCACTCGATTAATGACCGAATAAGAGCATCTCCATCGGATCTTCTTTTGTAACCAGCTATAGGAGATATGTTAAAAAACAATTTTTATTTTTCATAAAAAAGGCAGCCCTATATGCGGTAGTGCTATGAACCCGGTGTCAGTCCGCCCGGACGCTCTGTTGCTGGGTCACGACGCCAGCCCAACAACCCACACTCCTTCATTTCTTAAAAAGTTGCTCGTCCACTTCTTTCTATCCACTCGTTCCTTTTGCTATCGCTCTTATCCGCTAGCCTGCCGCCTCCAAGCGCACGGCCGCTGGGCCTGTGAGGCGCAGTGCGGGGTTGCCTCCGAGGCGCACCGCTTAGCCGCTGGCCTTGCCAGGCACGGCGCATGGCCGCCTCCGAGTCTTGGCGCTCGGCTGTCGGCCCTGCCAGGCGCGGCGCGCTGCTGCCCTCTCCAAGTCGCGCGGTCGTGGCCTCCCCGTCGCTCATACGGCCGATGCCTCTCTTCCGCGACGTGCAGCCACTGCCGCCGGCCCGCCACCTACAAGCATTGTCGGGCCGCTGCCTGCACTGAACACCACACACCGACGAGGCTCCATTC